CAGGCTGGATGGGGCTCTGAGCAACCTGATCCAGTTGAAGGTGTCCCTGCTCACTGCAGGGGGTTGGGCTAGATGACCTCTAAAGGTCCCTTCCAACCCAAACTATTCTATTATTCTGTGGTACAGCTGGGGTGTGACCCACCTGTGATCATATATTGGGCAGCAGTTCTGGTGGCTGAGCAGCTAGCTTATGGTACCAGAAAAACCAGCTGGTTTCAGTGATCAGTTCAGCAATGGCTTGTAGCTATGCTGCACCCGTATTTAGCTGCAAAGAATGATCAGTTTGGGATCTAGATAAGAAAGGACCCAGGAACTGAAAATCTAGTGAAGGATTGTGAGAGGCTGTTAGGGGATGATGGGCTGAAGGTAGGGTGCTGGCCAGGGCAGGGGGGGAGATGCTAAGCTGGAACTCTTTTGACACAGAGGAGAAACCTCTGTGTGGTGACTACCAAGTGTGACACTGATTTTAAAAGTCATTGTGAACTATGTGGGCATGACAATTTGGATGTTCTATCGAAGGGCTTGATTTGCTTGCCTGTTCTTTTGCTTCATTTGCCAATCTCCAGTACTGGCTGAGTAACATGGGTAATGCAGCTGGGCACAAACGAATGGTGACACAGGTTGCAACAGGCACCAGCTGGGGAAGACAGCAAGAATTCTGAAAGGATTTGCCAAAATCGCCTAGCAGAGGAATGAAGGCCACTGCCAAGAAAGAAACTGCTCACTATGCACCTGGCAAAGCTTTGTAGCTTAGTCACTGATAGTTTCTTCAACTGTTCCTGCCCCCTTATCACCCTGTATGCCTTTGGCTTTTGGGAACATTTATGTGAGCTGACTGTCATTACCGATGCTTGCAGGCAGACGGCGGGAACCTTTGCTCTCCGCTGGTGTAACCATGCACTCCTTTTACCTTCAGGTAAAAGCTAATCACTGGTAGAAAGCTAATGAGTGAGCTTGCAAGTACAAACTACTGTCTGGCTTCTTAGAGAAAGTTCTTTATGATGCAACAGCCTGTATCGAAACTGGGAGATTACTTCTGATCTTATCTGGAAACAACCTGTAAACAAAACGAGGCATGATTTTAGAGAGCTCTCCTATAATTAGTTCAACGAAAGCTATTTAAGAGATCTGGGTAAAGGGATGTGCTGGCACATATCCAAAAATGACAGTGGCTTTCTCTTTCAGAGTTTTAGATTTTTGAAGTCAATTACCCTAATTTGAAAGCAATTTTCTGGGGATTTGTAAGCAGTGGCAGGTAGCGTTTCCGGTAGCTAACCGCTGTGGGATTCGCCCTCTCGGCTCAAGGCAGCAGGAAGAAGGGCCCTTGGCCTCCTGGGGGATGGTCTGGAGCTTCGGGCTGCAAAATGTGCTGCGGTGGCAGCCGAGTCGTGGATTGGGATCCCTACCTTCAGGTGAAATGTAGCAAACTTCACACACTTGTGAGGGCAGCTGGTCTGGTTTTCGTGTTTGTTTTAGCGATGTTTATAGCTGCTCAAAACTCTCTGAACTTGTCCTTATCTGCTGTGCGCTGGAGTGTTGCGTACTCTGTCCATGCTCCCTCTCTTCCCGCCCTGTCCTCCAGTCATACCACCTATGGGTGCTGTGGGGGTGGTGGGTGGAGTGCTGCTGGCTTTGGGCTTGCTTATGTTTCCCCATGCTGCTGGAATTTCCCATTGCCTAGTTAAGGCTTATCGTGGGCCAGCATCAGGCTCTGAGGACTGGAAGACTTATCAAATGCATATCTAATCTGAAAAGTTATTCCTTCTCTGGGATAAAGAATGAATGAGTGATGGTGTGTGACTTGCTCCCAGAGGAAAGCTGTGCCCCATACGGAGTACTGCAGCAGGAACTTACACACCTTCCCCTGGCTTTGAATAAATAGTTTTAGTAAGGAGGAATTTATCCACATGTATAGAAATAAAATGGGGGGGGACGGGGGACGACGACACACACAAATCACAGCTTATACTTCATCAGGGTTTCTAGGAGTCACACACAAACATCTTCCCAAACTTTTGGAGGAAACCAGCAAAACTCTGGATGTGTCTGGCCAAAAAGGGAGTGTGTATGAGCTGGCAAGCTTGATGAACTCAGGAAATTAGACTTCATTCCTGATTTCAGAATAACCTTTCTAAATAACTCTCAGACTAAACTGAAGTTTTTTGTGGCCTTGCAAAATGGGAAGGGTTTGGATGGTTCAGGGGACAGATGCTAAATGTGGCACGTTTCGTTTCAAGTTTCGGAAGGAAGCACAGTCTTGGTATACAAGTGAGCAGAATTCAACACCAATCAAATGATGCTACAGTCTTGTGGGTATTTAGTGGTTTCATGTTGTGTTTGGTCTCATTGAATTCTCAGGCAGTCAAGATCCATGCTATCCATAAATCCAGCTGTCGTTTCTGAGGAATTTCATATGCAATCTGCTTGATTCCCTTGGGTGAAGGTCAACCCAGAGACTAGAAAGACGTCTGTACACAGATCCAGAGAGATGCTGTGTGACTGCTGCCTGCGGGGTCTGTGTTAGGCAGTTTTGCACAGCAACTGTCTGTAATTTTGAGCAGCAGGCTCTCATCCCATTCTCTTAAAATGTGCTTTACCCTCTAAGTAACATAACTTCTGTGCTAGATTTAGCAGTTATGTTCTCAGGAGGCCACCGCTGCTGTATAAAAAAAAAATGGCAGGGCAGTGCCTTTAACTTGCTTGTTTTCTGTCGGAAAGACTCTTGACTCAGGGAGCAATTTCTGCCCTCTAAACCCCTAGCAAGTGTTCCCAGCCCCACCTAGCCCTCTCTTACATGTCATGAATCCTCTTGGGGTTTCTGGGTGCTGCAGATTTGATGCTGTCTGGGTGGAAGCTGAGGAAGCAGAGCCTGGGCAGCGGGTGGTGTATCCCACCCCTTGCCCAGCCTTGTGCTTGCTGCATGAGACTTATTCCCTGTGACCAGTGGTGTGTGGTGGTCTCATGCCCTTTTATGAAACTTCTGAAGAGAAACCAGAAAGTCATTGTTCCTTTTTGTAATGTCTTTCTGTCAGCTCCCCCCAAAGTTCCTCTTTTTCTCAATTCCTTTTTGCTCTTCTGAGAGTTTCTGCTGCTCTTTATCTGCCAGTTCCAACAAAATGTTGTTTCTGTTATGATGAATAAATTCTTCTCAAGAGTAGAGAGCTGTTCTTTCAAGAGATTGCAGTTAGATGAAAACAGCATAGGTGTGTGAGGGGGTTTGTTTTGCCTTTTAGAAAATCGTAGCCCTAAAGAAGTAGCTCACAAGTGGCAATGGAGAAAGAGGCAAGGGCTCCTTCAGATGAATCAATATTGTGGGTTTTTTCTGACTTTGGGGGCAGTTTCTGTCTGAAGATCTGCTTTTTGTACTCTCTGGATGATGTTTTATTTTTCTGTTTAACCTCTGAAGATTGCGGTTAACATGCAAATAAGGACTTAAATTTTTCATTCTTCACTGTGGGTTATTTTTGTTTGGTTCAAAAACCCCCCCCCGGCATCTGCTCAAACTGACCCTTAAATCAGTGTTGTTACCTGATTATGGAGAACTCTATTCAACAACCAAACAGCTCAGCTGATGCTTAGATTCACTTACATGAGGAGTCCTGGAGGCATTAAGTTAACTGATGTCAGTAAAAATGTTTGGATTAATACAACACGGACCAATATCAATATTTCTAAAGTGGATGATCCGAAGCCAGTTGTGAAAAGGAGATATGGTTTTGGAGAGAGATATGATCCAGATGGGGTTACTGATACTGCTTTGGAGCAGAGAGCTCAGCTTCTGTGAAAGTGGCTCTCGGTGGGTGCCTGCTTATTGCCGTAACCTCCAAAAAGCTTTGTTAGCCTTTGTACTGCCTGTGAGTGTGTGTGAGGTTCTTGCTGGCCATAATCTGAGAAAAGAAACTTTTGTAGGCTGTATTGGGGTAGGAGAGAAGATGGGTGAAATAAAGTTATCTCACTGCACTTCCTCTGGCCCTCTCAAGTACCTAAACATTTTTTTTATTCTTTAGCCAGTATGTCAAGTGATATGAATACCTGTATATAGCTCCTCATAAATCAGATACGGGCATGAAGAACCAAAATGGATTGAAATACATGGGAAGCTCTTGCATATTATGAGTGTGGTTGATGAGTATTTCTCCTTGCTCCTCTCTGCCTGTCTCATGGCCTTTCTGTCCCGCTGTAGTTATGATTTGCTTTGAGGTGTGTTGTGCCATCTGGGTTAGGGATTCCCTATGTGAAATAATTCTTCCTCATTGAAGGACTGGATTGTCTAATGCTGTTGCTAATCTGTTGCTTGTAGAAACATCCCTACACTGAAATGTATCCCCCTAGATTAAATTTCTGCCAAGAGTTTGCAGCTTCATCGTTCAGTGGGCTAAGGCTCCTCAACTTGCGTCTGTGTTGGAGGCCTCATGATTATTTGAACTCTTCCTTTGTCGCTAAGCCCCTGCAGAGGGACAGGACTCCCTGGTATGTGCACAGCTACGCATGTACAGAGCTGGTTCAGGCTTCTTGGAAAAGCAGGCTAAAGAGGGTATTGCTGCTAGAAATCATGGAAAGGACAGAGCGGAGCTAGTGGTTGGCAAAGAGGTGGGTGATGTGAGGTGCTGCCCCCTGCTACGGTGGGACAGGCATCGCAGGAGCAGCAGCTGCCTTGTGCTTCCCAGCTCTGACCAGCCACCAGCCCTCTGGGTCAGCAGGGTTCTTGGTGATTTAAGCAAGAGCGTGTTTTGCCTGTGTCTCGAGCTGGGTCTCCTGTCCTTCAAATGCTGAAGCAGGCTTGTGGTCTGACCTCTGGTCTCTGCCTAGCACCTACTTTATGTCCAGTCTTTGATTTCTTCCACTGCTTACAGCTGATAAATCTCTAAAAGATCACAAATGTGATTCCTTTTATCTTTGTTCTCCATCCCATCTGTATGGTGTCGTGACAGAGTGCAGCTGAAGGGCCATAAAACTTAGGGAGAATACAACTCAACCATGATTGAGCTACTGAACACGAAGTACAGTATTGAGCTATTCATATTGTAAAGCTCCAATGCAAAAAAAGTTATCTCTTCTAAACTGACAAACTGTCAACATTTAGTGTAATAATTTCATAAATGTTCATGGTGATGGCTTTAGCTGTGTCTTGCTTAATATATTATGCGTTTTACAAGTGTTTTTCTCTTCAGTCAGCAGTTATCTTTCACACCGAGCCAGGATTATAAAACCCCCTTGGTAAATGTCATCAGCCCAAAGAAGGAAAGAGGAAAACTTCCCTCCCTTTGAACTTTGAAATTTGTATAGTGGATAAAGCCTGGTCACAAGGGAGAGGAAGAAAGGGAAATTCTGGGGGACTTTCCTAGGAAGCGAAAGGGAAACTATTTCAGGCTCAAGAGACGGCTTTGAGCTGATGGGATAGTCAATAAAATGCCTTTATTACTTTTGTTCAATGCCTTGTTTAGGAGGAAGTATAACACACTAATGCCAGAGAATTTCCATTCTCCAAAATTACTTTCCAGTTCAATACTGTGAGAGTGGGGAAAATCCTGGCCTGCAGATGCTTATTTTTGCTGGCAACTGTTGCCAGCAACAGGCTCAAGGACTACCAGTTGCTTTTCTGCATCTCAAGTCTTCTCTCCTGATAGCTATTTTTAATTTGCAATATTGTAGAAACCACCTTTCTTCAAGACAACATGATGTTGTTAGTGATACATATATGCAATTCCACTAAGATACAATAGTCAGTTTATTTTTTCTATATTGGACCTGTTACTAGACAACGCATCTCCTCCCTGACTTATAACCCTACAATTGGTTGGATCCGTATTTCCTGACAGGTGGGAAAAGGAAGAAAGTTGGATGGGGTTCAGAAAATATTTATTATGGTCCTCTAGGAAGGTGTTAAGTATTCATCAACAATGTGGTGAATGAGGCTAATTAGTAGCCTACGCTGTTGTAGTTGCTGCATTGGACATGCAAACACTGGAGAATGGTGGGTCTGAAAATGGAAGCTCAGGATGCCAGAGTGAGAGGAGAAAAAGAACCTGAGGTTAATCAAGGTTGGTGTAACTTGTC